AAAAATTACTGATACTTTCAACCTATTCTAATTTCTTTTCAGAAAGATTAATGTATCCACATCGTCACAGTCACAGTGAGAGAGAGACAGGAAGGTCAGGAAGAGAGAAAGAGGGGGGATGATATGCTGAAAAGGGCCACAGGTCGGATTCGAACCCGGTTAGGACTAAGCCTTAATGGTATGTGTATGCACAGGCGTTTGTGAAGCAGTTTGCTCAACATCAGAAAGTTAACATTGGTACCTTCCACCAGGACAAGAGGTCTTCCTCTCCGTCGATGATGGGGGGTCTTCAGGTGGCTGTTCAGCTCAGCTTCTGTGGCATCCTCCAACTGCAGGAGCTTTATAGCGCAAAGTCTGTGGTGTTGATGCGAGTCCTCCATCAAAATACAATAACTGATTTTGCATGTGGCATCTTGTTTTCACTAAACTGCACATAAAAACAAGACAAATCACCTTTGTTGCTGCCTGTTCCTGTCTCCACTCTCCCTTTGATGTATGACATCTCTGTGCTCATGTAGATTATCTTCAATCTTGGATAAAGGAGTAAAATAATGTTCAGAAACTCCTGTGCCTGAGTCTGAATTTATCCTCAATAGAGCCAAGAGCTCTTCACTTAGATTTCCTTAGTGAGATCTGTGTATCTATGTTGATCTTCTCAGGAGATGAAGGTCTGGCTTCAGGTGACATACCTACAGATTTAACTCTTGTTGTGCGGCCATCTTTCTGCAACTGTGCGAAAATTGGTCAACCAACTGTTTACAAAGTCCTCTCGTGTAATTTAGTATTGCGTCATCTTTCACATCATTTTCTAAAATAAAAAAATAAAAAATCATGAGGCAAAACATTAATTGTTTAAGACATAGTACTGCATTTTTCAGACTGATAATGAAATAACAGCATTAACAACTATTCAATTATTATCGATTTTATTTAGTACATCTAAAAGACAGAACACCAACAAACAAACCCACACACACACAGGTAGAGAGAGACCTACACTTAACAATCACCTGATCCATTGATTGAGTTGGTTAGCACTGATGCATTATCAGTGGTGATGCAGGTACTGCCTGTGTGGTCAACAGGACAGCAGCTGTGTACGGTGAGACTGAGGGCCAGCTTGATCATCCTGTTGGACCACAAAACAGATGTTGTGGTGAAATACTCACACACACAGTTCTGGGACGACCACTTGACTGAAGCATGTGCCGGAGGGAATTACATGTCTTTAATCCAGCATTCAGAGGAGTTTCTGAAACAGCCTTTGGTTACTGTGTCTTTATTGAGGTTATGCATCATGATGTCCGTTACTTTCAATTGATGTTTTGTCTGTGGCGTGAGTGTGTCTTCTCAAACCTGAAGTACTCCAACACCACAGAAGCGCTGCGTTTCTTCAGGACTGAATTGTCCAGCGTTGCAAGCCTTTACTTGCGTTTCACGTGTTTCTTGTTGGTAGAAGCAGTCGCCTTATTGAAACAGATCAAACCTGGGTCAGACTGTTGCGTAACGTATATCCTTGATTGCAGTCTTTGAAGTTTGCTAATCACATTGTGTCAAATTGCGATTTCAATTTGAAATCAAGGATTTGTTTGTGTAAAAGCAGGAGTTTTACAAATTGATCGTTGGTTGGAGGAGCAGTTATAGAAAGTATAATCTCACATATTACTTTCAGATTTCTGTGAACAGGAGCCATATGTTTTAAGTGTGTTGCTTCATTTCTGTGTCTGTGAATCGGCAGGTCAGCACTGACATTGAGCTAAACACAACTCGACATCAGATCTGGATGAATATGTATCTAGGGACCCATGGGGGTTATCCAGGCCTGACAGGCGTACATGTCAGCAAGCTGCAGGCTCTGCCTCTCTGCCTTGCCGCCTTGTCACATCGGACATGTTGAGAGGCCACGGTTTGTGGCCGCCGTTCTGTTTGCTTTTTTAGGCTCAGTTGTGCTGAGTGCCGGGCCTGTGTCCGTACCTCTCCCTCTGCCTCCGTTTATTTGACTTCTCCCAGGTTTGAATTGATTGTAGATACACTGCTTTCTTATGAGTTTAGTTTTCAAACAGGGTCAGAGCTTTGGCAACTGGTGAAAGTTTTTTTACTCCCTGGTTTTGTTGTGTCGTAATTTTCTGGACTGTACAGGCTCTAAATTTGACTGTGCACCAGTACCTGCCCACATGTGATGTTAAATACATTGTCTGACTTATATAATGTAGAACGGGGTTTGATCTCTGGTTGATCATGTAAATGCACAGTTTCCTTTAAAGATCTGGCTCCTTTGATTTTGGACTTTGATGGAGTGGTCCTGTCGAGAGTGGACAGACAGAATGGTAAAGTTTAAGAAAGGACATTTTGTGAAGGGGACTCTCTGGCACCCTAATGAGGTACTTGAAGCGCTCTTGGGCCCCATGAAGGGACATTATTCATCATGGGGACCAGAGAAGGGGTGTGTCTTTGAACCGTGAGTCTAGATGTAATGTGGTGAGTGCTTCACACTACAAACCCCGAGGAGGAACGTTTATCACTGACATCGTTTCTTTCCTTTTAAATGTGGTTATAATTAACAGCTTTTGGGGATTGGGGACTATCTGCTGGGTCGTACTATCAACTATCAGGCAAAGAGCTTTTTTGATGATTACAATGACATCTCTTGCTTTGTGCTTTTATGTTACTTCCATATGTATTAGCTGTTCCTGTAGGTCTTTGTTCTGATGGTCCTTCAGAGATCATCCTCACTCACAGAGCCTTTAGACCACTATATCAGAAAACATTCAGAGAGCACATACTCTCTATACACTCATTAAATGTGTTTTTAAAGACACAAAATAAACATAGTAATGGACTATCATAATTTAATACCTAAATGCTGGGAGTGCTGGGGCTTTAAACATACATTGTGCAAATGTTAAAGTGAGACAGAATGAGTTTTAGATATATGAATGTATTATGTTGCCGTAGCGTTGGCAGTGCAGGATTTATAATGTTCATTGGACCAAGGATTTTCTTCTACACATCACAGTTCAGCTGGATGTAGACTTGACATAAAGGGTTAACAGCAGTCCTGCCATAGTTTTCAATAGTTTCCAGTGGTTGGTTCATGGTTATTGTAGGGGACTAGTGGGAGGAGGTAGGATGAGGAGGCAGGATGTCCAGAATGAGAATGAGCCTCAGGTCAGTGACAGCTGAGAACGACAGTTAGAAATCAAGGTGCTGAAGAAGAAGAAGATAGTTGGACAGAAACCAACTCTTCTACCGTTTTCCTCTTTTACCATGGCCGACCCACTGTTAGTGGTTACTCTAGCTGAGAGGATGTCCTCTGAACTGATTGTAGGTGTTATAGTGAAAGTTCATACAGTCCCAGGAAAATTATCATGATGGGGTTTTACACCACAACATTTCCTCTCAACCTCTGTAGTTTAATTTGTCTTATCTATATGTATTTTTTGTTCTAATGAATATTCACACATACAAACATTATAAAACATACTTATGTATTATACTTATGTAATATTAATACTTCAGTACACCTTACCTACGATTATGACACCGTGTTATTCCCTCCTCAGCTCACCAGCAGAGCAGCTTACATGTAAAGTTTTAACATTTTACCTGTAAGTGTCAGAACGACTGGGTGAGGACTCAAATGCACGACACAACACAGCAATCAGAGGCAGGGTCTTCACTTAAAATAGGTTGGGCCCAGACAGAACAGGGTGAGGCTAACTCTAAGAAAACACTGGTCAACAACACACTAAAGGCTACAGGAGGAGAACTGCTAGAACACTTGTCACAAAGAATGAAGACGAACTGGCACAGAAGACAGGGAGCACGCAGCTAAATACACCAGGAGACCAGGAAGGGAAGACAATTAGACACAGGTGCAACACATTAGGTTCGGGGTCAACAATCACAGGAGCCGGAAACACACATTGGCAGCAAGTGTAGATCTGAAACGAGAGGGAAAGGTTAAAACAGGAAATGATAACAAACAGAGAAAAAAAAACAGAAAACATGACCTAGGAGGCAGAACGGGACACAACAGTCAGACTTTATTCTGTGATCAAACGTCAGATTTACACAGTCAAAGAAATAAAAAGGTTGTCCTGCTCATAGTTCAGTAACAAATTCCCAACACGGCATGTACTGTCTCTGTCAATCCCACTGAACAGTAGAGGAGTACCAACGACTTGTTCAGTAGTAAATGATCTGACTTTGCTTTTGAAACAGAAACTGTGTGTGTTTCCAGTACAGTTAGTTTTGTAGTTTGGTCATGTGGAGTATAGATGTCAGTCTGTGTACAGCTAAAACACAAAAAAGAAGTACAACTGTTCAAAAGATGAAATAAGACTTAGAGGTTTCTCAACTGATGATGTGAAGTCAGAGGAAGACTGAAGTCAGTCAGACATCATCTTCTGAGAACTGTGAACATCTGCACTAAATCTCATGGAAACATTGAACTATTTTTGAGTGGTGGACCAACCGACTGCCACTGACATCACTACAGCCAGAGTGAAGTTTGTCTTTAGATTCCATTCATCGTCCACGTAGGACAAAGTAAAGTCAGTGTGATTCTGGTTATGTTGCTATTTGTGTTGATATGAATCTGGCACAAAAGAGGAAGATGTTAAATCAGCCTTTTACTGTGACTGACAGTTTCCTACATGAACACACTGTTTTCTCTTTGGTCATTTCACATGACAGCTCTGTGTTTTTTGTCTGAGCTCTCCTCACCGGTTTGATATGGGCGGGACTACATATGCACAGAAAATTTGGTCAGTTGGTCCCTGTCAATCAAATCAAATCTCACCCCCACAGTCCTGATGAAGAGGATTATTTCAGATTTTAATAAATGAACCCTGAGGTTGAATATTTACTTTTGAATATTTGTGGTCTGACGTGTGCCAGTGCAGATGATGACTAGTCAGCTGACTTCTCCTCTGTACAGTCGTTCATCACAGTGTAATTACAGTCTCTCTGTCCCTCTGTCTCTGTCCCCTGCTCAGACGGGATGAACTGCATGAACAAGGACCACGGCTGCGCCCACATCTGCAGAGAGGCTCCAGGCAAAGGAGGCGTGTCGTGCGAGTGCCGCCCCGGCTTTGAGCTGGCCAAAAACCAGAAGGACTGTACATGTACGTACCACAGCTGGCCTGAGTGTGGCCCCTCATCCCCACACTGACACACACACACACACACACACACACACTGGCAATTGACTGTGTTCTTAGAACAACTTTTAGTCTCTGATTTATTACCATTAAATGTGGATGTGTTGCTTTCTGACTGGTCACATGATTTCACAGCTGGCAGCAGAGTATTAACACTGTGTTTTATAGACTGGGTTTTATTGAGTTACTGTTGTGATGAAGGATCTAAACTGTTCCTGTGATAAACATCTGTAATAGCAATGATGGACAAGTTCCAGTGGGCCTTCAGCGATAAAACACGAGGGTGGACATTTAATTCCAAAATCAGTGAGGCGTTTCAGACCCTGCTGAAGGTGCTGAAGGATTCAGTAGAGAGAATTCATGTCTCCAACCCCCCAACCCCCCCTCCACCTCACCACTCCATCCCTGTTTCACTCCTCATATTGAGCGCCTGCAGCCATGGAATTTAGGGCTGCTGTCTTTGAGAGGGAAAAATAAGCTTTTAGTTACACTTTGTTTGGCAACATATCTTATTCTCCTCTCAGACAGGGAGAGTGTACAGACTGTGAAAGGCTCCAATGCCCCCCACCCCCAACCCACCCCGCTCTGGTAATATTTCATTAGCAGCGAGGGACTCAGTGCTATGCCGGCCTGTTGAGCATGGCAGCGCAGGACGGTAGTAAACCAGTGATGAAAGAGACGACAGTTATGTCTGTTATGTCCTCTCTGTCTCTTTCCATCTCACCTCTCTCCTTCCTTTTCCTCTCTCTCTTCTCTTCTTTTCTATCTTAGAGTTACCAAATAATACAAAGTTCCCAGGTCAGGGAACTACAACGTCTATAAAAGCTCCAAAAACGTCATTATGCTTACTTTCCCTCTTCGACAAATGTGAAGGCAAATTAGTATCTCAACTGTCTCTCATAGTGAGTGTTTATTGTGCTAAACTCTAAATTTTAAGGAGTGTTAAAACCTATCACTGCTTCAACCAAGTCTACCAGAAACTACATTTCTATTGAACTAAACTGCAACAGCAAATCCATTCTGTACTGAACCTAATATCCAGCTGGTTTATGTTTGAGTGCAGTGCATCTTTTGAATAAACGAAGCGCTACATTTATTAACAGCCACCTTGGTGATTGCTTGCCTCGCTCTGCCTTGTGTATTTCGTCACTTCCTGTTTCTCAATTCGCATCCATCTATTTGCATACCTGCTGTTTTGAGTGCATAAGTGTGTTCACATTGCATTGCACCTACCTGTCTTTGCGTCCTGAAATCATTGAACTAGGATCTGTGAGTGTTCATGAAACTGTTTTTTACCAAGTGGAGATTGTAGGATATTGTGCAGCAAGGTTAGATATTTTAGTGGAAACTATATGTCTGTGAACATTTTACATTACATATTAGAGATTTGTCAAATACATGACCTCAACCAAAGAGCTTTTGTTGTCTAAAGCACAGGCAGGACTGTGGATGTGAACCTGGTCTCTGGTGTGATGGTGGTGAACTTTGCTCATCCTCTTCTCACCCAAACCACCTGGTCATGACTCTGCTGCTGTTATTAAATGAAGTGCTTCATTCACCTCTGAACATAATCCAGCTGTAGATCACGTTTACTACCAAACATATTTGCTGTTGCACTTTAGTTTTATAGAAATGTAATTTCTAGGAGACGGTTGATTTTCTCGTTTTTCTGGTACTCCAAATCATCATCTCTCACTCTGTCTTTTCTCCTCCCCCTTCCTCTCTCTTCATCTTTTTATGACCTACCTGTCAAGTCAAGCCCTATATCAAATTCGACATTTTAAATTTCCCTCTGTGACTTCCGTCTTCCTATGTCATTATAGTAGCTAAATAATTAGTCGGTAATAGAAACATCTGGAGCCTTGTGTTAAACATACTGTACAAACCAGGAGTAAGACTTAAATGTTTTGTTTTCTTTAGTGACGTGTAACTATGGAAATGGGGGTTGTCAGCACACATGTGACGACACAGACACGGGACCAGTGTGTGGCTGCCATCAGAAATACGCCCTGCACTCAGACAGCAAGACCTGCATCGGTAAGTGAAGGCCATGATGGCTCCCACACAGACCCTGAAGCTGTCACAGCTGTTTGACTGTAACATCTGTTCTATGATATGTCAAACAGCACTTAAGCACAATCAGTCCATCCACTCTGACGATATGTCAGAATGTCTGGTTGACTTGAAGTTGGTCACACAGGTCTAGCTCCATGTGCTCTATAACAAGGCTCTTGGACCATAAGAGTCAGCCATGATGGTTTTTCCACCATGTTGAAATTTTTGAAAAACACTTTTTGACATTTCTTTACCATAGGTCTAATTTCTATCAAATTTTCTCTAGATCAGCATTGGACCAAACTCATCAAAAGTGTTAAAAGTTTGTTGATTTCTTATTTAGTTTTAAAGATATTGACCTATCAACTTCACAAGGGGCTTAGCAGGAAATTGGCCGTAATTTATCAACGATTTGTGCAATCATCAAAAATCTTTGTAGATAATCTATAGATCTGAGGTGACATATTGAATGGTGTATTTTGGTGTGGCCTATTCATCATTATCTGCTACCTTATGTCTTTGCTCAGTTTGCTGCGAGCTGGAATGAGGCAGAGATGTGAAACTGGAAATGATGTACTAATACTTCCCATGAAATGGTGCTATAATTAACAGTCAGAAAAAAGAGAAAAAACTTTTACTTATTCAATGTGTTGTTAGCGTAGGCCTAACATTGGTAAAGTAATGAATGGATATACAATAAGTCACCGGACGAATGTTTTGTCAGTGTAAACTTTACTGTTAGAGTCAGAACCTAATGTTTGAAAACTGTTGTATCATCACTCACCTTTCATGTTAATGGTTGCTGATGAACACACACACTTGAGAGGTTAATTCTGTCGCCATAAAGGATATGGAGACCAGTGTTGACTGGCTAATGACAGTAATTACTGTTTACTGTTGAATTACTCTTTGATTTCCAGTAATAACCGCGGGCTTAAACCGGTTATATTTGTCATCTTGTTGTTTGTCTCATCAGTAGAGGATGAATCAGGTGATCCAGGTAAGTGGAGTTGTTCATAACTCTGTGGAGCATACAGGTATTAATATACTGATAATTTGTGCACACAAATGTGTAATTTGTACCCTTGAATTAATAATGATTGTGCAGAAAAAATATTGTCTCATTAAAAATGTTTTATGTTCTGATTGATATGATAATCATCCATACCCCCAATTTCTTTAAATTATATTGTCAAATTAATCAAACTAGTGTCTTCAAATTACTCGATTTTATTCCCTAAAATTCTCTCATTCAGTTACTATAGAAGTGTGAACTGAAATGACCTCTCATAATTGAATTTGTTTAATCAGACTAAGGGGATTTAGCACCTCAACTCTTTCTCACACAGGTTTTATGCTACACTGTTTTCCTTTGACTGAAAGCTACACATGTTTCTGTGTGAAGCAGTACATAATAAACAAAGTGGGTTTAACAGTTTTATGTCGATGTATGTAGATGAAACACTTTAATCTTGTTATCTCTGGGAAAATGTTGAAAAAATTTGAGGGAATGAGTTAATAAATTGTGTGCACAATTTATTAAAAAAATCTATTATGTTCAGAGCTCAGGTAATCGCAAGAGTCAGCTCTGTTAATAACAACTAATGTGTTAGCACTATAGTGGATCTCATAGGCCTGCCCCCTAACAGCCAGCCTTAGACCAGGTTTTGATTGGCTGTTGGTCACAGGGAAAAAGAAAAAAATCAAACTCCACAGGAAGTTGCGACTCTCTGTCACTCAGTCAGTCATTCAGTCACAGACAGACATCGGTTACACAGCTGGTCCCTGTGGTTATTAGACAGTAATGTAACTGAGAGTCTTGGGTTCACCAACTGGGCATTTTTAGTAATGAAATAATAACTCAACTCTAAGGGGACCCACTGCCTCAAATTTTGAAACAACCATGCCTGTAGCCAGCTATGAGGTCACTGAGTTCTGGACCTCAGTAATGTTTTTATAGCTAAAAATAAAAAGATAAACACATCTGGATTAAAAAAAAAACAAGATGAGTACTTAATCCAGTTTAGACTAGTTAGTGAGTTTCTGCTCTAAACACAGCCCCTTCCATCATCAGCACTTCCACTGACAGCAGTTGGAGTTTACACAGTGGGATGGAGGATACAGCCTTCCATGAAAAGATAAGGCATGTTGTGGAGTTGAGTAAACCAACATTTTCAGGGCTCAATAGTTGCAGTCCGGAGTCCTTTTTTGAAAGTGCGCAAGTTAAAATGTGACATGACAGTGCTGCGTTAGCCATTGTGATTGAAAGTAGTATTTTTTCTTCTTCACTGGCTCAGTTAGTCTCTCCCTACCTGCTAGCAATGTGTTAATATGTGCTCCAGCAGGTCAAACATGTAAGTAGGCTAACGTTAGCCACTTAGCATGGCCGCGCACTCTTTACACTCTTGCTGGTTGCTCCAACACATCCAGGATCATTAACACTTTTGCTGGTGTTGTTAGTAGCTTTCTTCATGTGTGTGCTTATGAAATGTATATTCTTTTATTATTGTATTACCTCATGATCGATTTAAAGCTTTCTATGAAACTCAGTTACAAACAAAAATAATGAATCCAATAATTCAAAATAGATAATAATTAAATTATTTGGGACCAGTGAAGCAAATTAAATTGCAGGCATCCAACAAGAAGAAAAAAAATGAAATAAAGTACAAAAAAATAAATAAGTAAATACAAGAAATACAAGAAAAAGAAGACATTTGGGGGAAAAAAGACATTATACAAATGATGGACACACAGGTGTTATGTACCTTATCCATCTTTCCCATATTTCCATGACTTTGTCCTGTTGCAGCCTGATATAAAAAGTAATTCTTTCCATCCTAAAGATTTATATTCTAAAGGCTCATTATTACAGTTTTGTATTTCTTTATAATGTACCTCAGTGTTACTTCTACCACTAAAAATCTGTCTCTGGACTCAAACCATTTTCTAATGCCCGTCAATAACACAAATGTAACTATTTAAATTGATATGATAAACATGTGATGATTAGTTGACTGATGGCTTGAACTAACAACTACTGACCAGGAAAATCTTTGGCTGGGGGCAGCCCTAGAATCTGGTTATTCTGGCGTGTGTAAAATGCTGGTGCAACAATACAACATCTCTAAGATGTGGGTCTACTCCACTGTATGTAAGAAGTGTGAAGGAACAGCTCTTCTTCAGTTTGGTGTGGCCTTTGGATTCAGGTGGCACTAAAACACTTAAAAAAGGAAGGTCTCCATCCAAATCCATTGCAGTGAAGTTCCCAGAATAACCAGCAGTTTCTCAGACTCAGAGAGTTTAGCATAACATAATGAAGTCAGACCAAACCACAGTGTGGACAGACGTCTTATTTAGCTAGCGATCACAACAGTTCATTCCAGTAGAAATCCCTGAAGCAGCAATCACTTAGTTCAGAATTTGGATTCAGTGTGTTTTGGCTCTGCTGCCAATCTGTAACCTGGCAGGACGACAGGTCACCAAATCCTTGTCTACTTAATGAGCTGAGCGGGAGTCCATGTGACTTTTGTTTACAGGTTCTGGTTCATTTGTAATTGGCCACTGTAAATCTGAAGGAACCAAATAAAAACATGAAGTTTTCCATGTTGAAGTGTGAGTTAACATGTTGTTACATGTTTCCTGGTGAGATTATAACCACCTGCCCAGCTAATGTGAACTAACTGTGAAATGACAGACATGATGTCAGTGCTGTTGATCACACACACTGACACACAGTTATCTGATGTCATGTTGATGTGTATTGGAACACTGGAAACACCTCCCTCCCTCCCTCCCTCCCTCTCTGGAGCAGACTGCTGACCTGCTGTCCAGCAGCTCCAGGTTTTCACTGGTGATAACCTTTTTCTTTTCAGCTGCTTTGAAGAAGCGAAACATGCCATCAAGAAAAAGCTGTGAAGAGGAAATCGAATGCTAGCGAGCGGGAACTCTCCCTCTTTTCCTAATGTCTCGTGTCCTCTCTCTCTCTCTCTGTCTCTCTCTCTCTCCGTCTCTCTTGGCGAGAGAAAGGACCCCTGTGTCTGTGGTCCAAGACTCCCAGCTGCTCTGTGGGCCAACCTTTAATGCCCCCCAACCCCTTCTTACCCTTTCTATATAGTGCTGCCCCTCTGCTCCCCCTTCCTCCTCCCTCCTCCTCTTCCTGCTTTCTGGTGATAGTACCTGATTGCCTGTCTTGTCTGAGCATCAATGTTAAAACCAAATCAGGTGGAAATAAGAAACAATCCTCAGTGCACAAGAGGAACGAGTGATTGTGTGTGTGGGTGTGTGTGTGTGTGTGTTTCGGGTGGGGTTGGGCGGGTGGGGGTTAAAAGCAGACATCTCAATTGCAGCCTGATCTTAGGTGAAGTTCCCACGAAAGCAAACCTAACGTCCTCCTCCTCCTCCTCCTCCTCCTCCTCCTCCAGCTCTCTCACTACCTCCTCATCCTCATCCTCCTCACAGCACCCAGACAAAACGCAACCAGCTCGCCAAAACCAAAAACCCACCTACACCAAAATGACCTCCATGCCTCATCATCCCCACCCACCACCTCTGTCCTTGTGCCACACACCCTGATAGAGAGGCAGGGACTCTCACTGCTCGACCTCCTTCACTCTCATAACTTGCCCTCCTGCTGCATGTGTCCTCTCACACGTCGTCCACCTGTCTGCCACACCAGTCCTTCTGTCTGTCTGCTCGTCTGCCTGCCCTGCTGCATGGGAGAGCCTGCACTGCATTTGTACGGTTTCCTTTATCTGTTTTCTTTTTTTTACTTTCATTTTTCTTTTTTGAATTGAAGAACATTTTTATTGCTGTTGTTGTTTTTGCCAACCCTGGTCCTTCTGTGTCCTCCCAGTGCATTTTACCATTCTCCTCCTAGCTGTAGTAGTGTAGAGTGGTTTAACCCCCCCCTGCCCGTCATCCTGTGTAGGTCTGGCTCTCTAAAACACTCCCCTCTCTGTGGGCCTCCGACCGCTGTTTCGTCCCATAGACTCTTTAGGAGTGAATGGCTGGGACTCCTCTCTTCCCACCTCTTCTCAACCTGTCTCACGCGTCCACCTCTCTCTGTCTCACACACACACATTTTATCTCCCTCTATGACAGATTTTTTCACACGCTCGAGCAGGCAGATGCTCTAAAGTGCACAAACTGGTATGCACAGGCTCTCGACTCAACAATTTCACACACACACATTCACACGGCCACATTTCACCAGAAAGCCTCCATTCATCCCTGAGTGTCCTTCAGAGAGTCCTCCACTTTGTCCATGAAGCACATGAGAGGAGAGAGAGAAAAATGGTGGAGGGACGGGGTAGGGGAATGGAATGGATGTTAATTACCCCAATATCCACCCCCCCACTCCCGCGAGCCGGCCCCGAGCGCGCGCGTCAGACGATCAGAGCGCGAGCCCCAGAGAGTGTGTAGCCGATCAAGCCAGTCCTACAGCATCCATTCACAGAGAGACTCTCATTCAGGCTGTAATGACTCAGACCAGAGAAAGGCAGTTTCCCTCTCCCAGCCCCATCACCAAACCCGCTATCCCCACCACCACAGCACACATACACCATCCTAACAGCCATCTCGCCCCCTTCTACAACCATCACCCCCCCCCTACCACCCCTACCCCCCCTCCTCCTCCCCTCCACCCACCTCCCCTGCCCAGCTTTGGGAATGTGGTTTTTCCAGCGTTGACTGTTAAAGCCAGTGATGTGATTGTGTTCCATAGACAAACAGGCAACCAGCGCTGCCCCCAGACAACCCCCCCCCCCGCTTTTTATTTCTCTGCATGTCCTCCCTACACTTCCCCATTCCTCAGTGTGTGCACCCCTCCCTCCCTCATACCCCTCCCACTGTTGGCCATGATGGGACTGAGTTTGTCTTTTTCCCTCCCTTTCTCTCTCTGTTTCTTTATCCTCTTCTCCTCTGTTCATCATTTTCCTCTCAGTCATCTTCGTCATCACTCTGTTCTCTGTTCTCCCAACTCAGCTGTTTGACCTCACGCCTAGTCTTCCTCCCCTGCACCCGCTCTTCCTCCTCCTCCTCGTCATTATTGTCTTGGAAATGTTGGACATGTATCCTCCCCTCCCTCTCCTCTCTTGCCCTCCTCTTCCATCCTAACGCGAGGAAATCATTGCTGACAAAGCACGGCTGTTTGATATGGAAGACAGAAAATCCATCAGCGACAACAACAGCGTCAACATCAGAACTAAAATCCCCCAAAACGTTCACCCCCGTTCCATCCCCAAACCCCACACCTCTATCATTTTTTTTACTTTCTTCATATGTGAGCCCTGAACCTTCCCCCCTCTCCTTCCCTACCTACCTACTTGCCTACCAACTGCTTCATTTTGTAAGCTACACACTGATACTGATCATTCTCATTTATTTATTTTATTTTTTTTTATTTCTTCTGGGGGATTTATCAATTGTTTGGGGATTAACACTCTAACAGGGATTTTGGCGCTTCTTCATCGCTTCTTGCTTCTTGGCTTTGGTTTTTTGCTCAAACGCCAAGAGGGGCTGAAGGTCTGGTCATTTGGGCTTCTCATTAACCTGCTGCTCACTGTTTGTCCCCTTGTCACTTGTGTTTTAGAGAAAGATGAGGCTGCAATTGAGAGCTCTGAGTTCAATGCCACGTCAGTAGCTGATGTGGACAAGCGGGTGAAACGGCGGCTACTTATGGGTAACTCTTTTCTTCCTCTTTCTATGTGTTGCCATGGCGCTTGTGCTTGTATCCCCGACTCCTCTCCGTTCCTCCTTGTCCTCCTCTCTCTCTGTTTTTTTTTTTTTTGTAAACCTTTGGTGCCCACTGTGTCTACTCCCACAGTCACAGTTCTGTTACAACTGTATCTGACGTGATGAAAAAGGAGTAGAAGAGGTCGCTGTTTTCCTTTAAACCCTTCCTCCCCAACTTTACCCACTGAAACTTCTGGATGGCTCTAAGGTTTTCTCATTAACTAACTTTTACTTTTCCAGTTATACCTTACTCCAAATGCTTTGTGTTCCAGTCCCCTTATTTTTGATTACCTATAACTTACTAGCAAAGAAAAAACCCTGAAAATGGTCAGAAACCCGACTTGCACCAAGAATATTTGGGAAAATATTCTCAAAACCTATCTCCTGTAGTAGCTGCAGTAAAGGCGACAAAAGAAACACCAGTCCTATGATGTCCGATGGTCTCACATCCCTGTGAATCCTTTGTTCAAGCTTGAGGTATCAAGGTTAAGGTCAGCACACCGGACAGAGCTTTGACCAAATAGATGTTTGGTTTGGTTTTAGTTTTTCGTATTGAAGACTTCAAGTGACACAGTAGAGATTTCTATCATCAGATGTGTCTTTTATTACTGTACATCAGTGTCTATTCACTTGGACCATCTTTTAAGAGCCACTGGTCAAACTGAATCCAGTCTGTTTTTGAAGTGGAAATCTTGAAGATTTTCATTTGAATAAGTGTCAGCATCACTGAATGAAGTAACACAATGGTGACTGAGCCTGTGACCCACTGATGAAATTATGTAGAATTCGCATTGCATTGAATCCGGTGTCTGATATGAACACAAAGTTAGTGATGTGTGGTTCAAAAAGGTGCAGTTCACCATAGGTGTCACCCAAGATTACAAAACTGAGATCTCAGAGATTCCTTCTTTAAAGTGATAGTTGGGGTTATGTGACGTGGGGTTGTGTGAGGTACTGATCTATTGTCAGTGTGTTACCTGCAGTAGATCCAGATCAGAGAAGCAGCAGGAGCAGAGGTACAGAAGCTGAGTGATGAGCTGCTGTGGACGGGATCATCAGAAAAAACATCTTTTAGTCACTGTAAAAAATACATACAGAAAGAAAACTCAGCCAAAGTGTCTTTTTATTTTGAATATTTTCACATTTTATCTGACGTCAAACAGACCTTTACTTTGGAACTACAGTTTGTGAACCGCTAAACTACTGTATTCCTACACACAAGCACAACTATTACATGCACTGTATTATTCTGCAGGGCTTGTGCGTAGGAATATGGTAATTCAACAGTTCATAAACTGTAGTTCCAAAGTAAAGGTCTGTTTGACAGCAGATAAAGTGTGAAAATATTATATGAAAATATAGAGACATGATTGATCTTAGTTTTTTTTCTGTGTATTTTTTAAAGTGTCTAAAACATGTTTCTCTGCTGACCCCGTCCACAGCAGCTCATCACTCAGCTTCTGTACCTCTGCTCCTGCTGCTTCTCTGATCTGGATCTACTGCAGGTAACACACTGAAGATAGATCAGTACCTCACACAACCCCACGTCTAATAACCTGAACAATCACTTAAAGTCCATCGTTAGGTATTTTACTCCTACTATAAAAGCCAAGTGATAGCTACTAATGAAAACGAGAACGTCATGGTTTGGATTCTGAAGGACTTCACCCGCTGCTTCCTACTCTTGGACCTTTAAAAACGTCTTTCCATGAATTACCAAATGTTTTTGCTCCGACTCGGTCAGTCAGACTTTCACATCATTAAAGGGCAATTCACTTTCCTCCTCTGCTGTCCTCTGAATTTAACCTTTCTTTTATTTCTACAACAGAGGTACATCAGAAATCTCCTCCAAACCAATGTGCTATACTGTAGTGTATTAAACCATGTTCCATACTTGTACAAGTTTCATTTCAGTTGGTTCTGGCCAGTGTGGCTTGGAGGAAGAGTGGAGAGTTTGGTTTTAAGGATGCTCCCTTGTCCCTCCTCTACCTCTCTGTTTTCCTCTCTCCTCCCTCAACAACCTTGTAACTAAATATTTGATTTCTCCTCACTGGCTAAACCCTGCTTCACCTCCTGTTGAACGTGTCACCTTTCCTGATGGCGTCCCACTTGTAACCTGAAGTGGGTTGTCATGTCTACCCCACTGGGATTACATAGGAAAAACCTCCCAGCAGGGATTAAAGTTATTCATCTCTCCACAATGAGATACAGATCACTCACAGCAACAGTAGTTAGTGACATGTCAGACTTAGACCTGGTCTAAGTTTGGAAAGGCTTTTATTTCAACGTACTGTAACTGCCTCCAGGTTTCTGATTGCACAGATAGAAACATTATCCCTTTACCTATTAAACAGCTGATATTGGAGTCAGCCGACACATGCACATATATGTGGCTCCACCGTGAAGAGACACGTGTGCATGCATGTGGTTGCTGAGAGCACAGGGGCCACCTTAGTGCTGCACTGGCACGGCCTGAGCAGCATCAGTATGTTAGATTTGACACTGCTATCAGTTTGTCTGCTTCCTCTGACATGTGGCGTTCCCGTCTCTGCCCCCACTGCTGCCACAGCAGAGACAACACGCAGGTCAAGACAAATGGAGCTGCAGCTGAGGCTCTAATGAAAAGGCGCCGCAGAGAAAGGAAAGGAAAGAGAGGGCAGAGAAGAGGAGAGGAGGGAGCATGGGTCATACTGAGAGACTGTGATGGTGATATTGAGTGAAAAGCTAAATCAGGAGCCGGGTCAAGTGTCAAAACAGAAACTGGGTAGTGTGCAGTAGCTGTGGCCCTGAAGTCAAAATAAACCATCACCTCAGGACAGATGGAGCTAAATTGAGGTGTGTGTGTGTGTGTGTGTGTGTGTGTGTGTGTGTGTGTGTGTAGGTGTGTGTGTAGGTGTGTGTGTAGGTGAATCCACATAGAGTGATTACAGGCCAGAGCTGTGATGACTGGCAGCTGTTGTAGGTGCCTATCATGGTGCAGTGGGCAAGTTGATCTTGCCCCTCACACCTTTTTCTAACAGTGCAGACGCTAACACAGTGCACATCAGCTTTAATCAATAGAACATGTGTCCTCCTCTCACAGAGAGCGGTTTGCAGACATCAGCATTTCCATTTGTACACTTACTGCCCTCCTCATTCAGCTGCTTGTTCAGATTTAAATCCTCTTAAAATTGTGCATCATGTCATGAATATATTAAAGAAATGTGTTTTTTTATCCTTTTTTTATCAACAACTAGTCTTTACCATATAGGTACAGTCCTAATGGGCTGTCATTAGTAACACTAACAACAGAAGAGTTCCACTCCACAATGAGCACAATAGTGAACAGACAGTTTGTTTTTCAGTGAAAAAGTAGTTCAGGATTTTGGGAATTATGAGTAGATCGATACCACTCATACAGCTGTCTCTGTGACATATGAAGCTACAGTTGGTTACTGTATCTCAGATCAACATAAAGACTGACAGCAGGAGTAAAAAAAAGATCACAAATTACATCTAGTTTAGTTAAACTGTCCAATACAGAAGACAAGATGTGGTTTTACAGGGGATATATATAAATATATATATATATAATTATATACATTTATATATGCATTTCTGCATATATGCATTTCATGCATATATGCATTTCTCTGTTAACTAAGGTAAGTGTCATCATAAATTTCAAAGTGTGGCCATATAAAATTTTCAGTGGTGGAACAAATATTCAGGTCAATGTAAAAATACTTCAATAAGTATCAACAGCAAAATGTAGTGTTAAAGTAAAAGTCCTGATTTGGTTCCTCTGACTGATGTATGATTATATATGTCAGTGTGTGAGCAGCATGTCACTGTTGTAGTTGTTGCAGGTTCATATACAGTTTTATAAACAGGGACATGGATCAATCTGAGGGGTCGTCAGGTTATCAATGAGAGAGGAAAGAAGAAGAAACACAAAGCAGTAAAGGCCCGGAATTTTTTTAATAAAGTTTACAACACAACTTCAACTTGGTGTCATTTCATCTCAGTCTCTTTGACTGGACCAGCAAATCAATGGAGCTCTTTTATCTACTAGGGAAATATCGCCATCTTTAGGTCACCTAACAACAAGCGGAGCTTTCAGACCTGATGCTAAGCCCCGAATCTTTACAATGTCTGGCTCCGCCCATGGTGTGTTGTATCTTAAAAGTAAATAGTAAGTAAAGCTGTCAGATAAATGTAGTGGAGTAGAAAGTCCAATGTTTCCCTCTGAAATATAGTGGAATATAAAGTAGTAATTAGAAATAGTCAAGTAAATATGTATGTTGTTATTCACCACTGAATATTTGATCAGATTTGATTCATAAAAATATATCAAAGAAAACCGATTAAACATTCAACAAACAGCACAAAACCTGGTGCTTCCAGTCATCATGAGGGGGTGAGGGGGTATGTTGAGCTTGTCCAGCACATCAATCACGGCCGGCGGTCGGTCTGTGTTCCCGCCCCCAGCCTGCAGGCCCCGGGGCTGGATGTGGCCTGGAGAAAGAAGAGCTGTGAGCAGGACTGTACTCACCCTCAGCTAATGATAGGGCCCACTGTACTCAGTATAAATCACTCTGACCCATAAACACCACCCCTGCACGCACTGAGCCTGCTCACATGCACCCACACCTTCAACACTCACACTCACCTTCTGTATACACCTGTGCAGGTGACCCAAGTCGGGGCGTGCAGAGGGGACGTGGTTCTGCTGTCATACCCTACAGGGCCAATCAGACAGGCTGCCTGGATGATGGAGTGTCTCTCCTTCCAGGGAACACTACAACATAGCATTTGAGAAACCTCCTGCCCCCGTTCTCCATTTGAAAGAATTTGGAAGAATTTAGCTATCTGTCCACAGAGCTTCTCCAAACAGAGAGCTAGACACGAAAAGGACTGCGAATGACGAACACAGAGCTTTGACGGATAAACACAGCGAGGAACAAATGCAAGCCAGAAAACAGAGAGAAGCCATGAGATTGATGTTGTTTGGAGCTGCATGAGGGAACACAAACAAATGTACAAATACCTTCCTGTTTCCTGATAGAAAGCTCCGGCCATCATGGCTCTGATGTGTTTGTGACTCTGCATTCTAAAAGGGCATTATGCTAATGTCTCCAGCTCTAGATGTGAATGTGTTTGCCTGCCTGAAAAGGCTTTTCCTATTTCCCCCTTCACTCAGACACACAATCTGCTGGCATTCTAATTAAATAGGGAAAATATGCCAGAAAGAAGAGGAACATCCCTGATTTACATGTTGCTGTTGTCCAGCAAAAGCCTTTGAAATCTAGCATGTGACTTTTTAGGAATTACTAAGGAAAATAAATTTGATAATGTTTTGTTTTGAATTTGACCAGTGGCCATGTATAAATAGAAATGTCTTAAAGGTCCATATTTTACAAGTTTTAAAAGAGTTGATCCATAAGAAGATATATTTGTGGTTTTAAGACCCAAAAACCATCTCAGTGTACTTTTACATTACCTGTCCTCTCTCAGGTCCCTCTTTTGAACTCTAGCAACAACAGGTCGTGACTGTTTTCTGAATGATCTAATGAAAATATAGCAGATTTCAGGTAAACCAAATCCTGCAAGGTTGCATGGTGGGTCCAGATGGGCAGGGTTTGGGCTCCAGCTGAGAGTGGTGACTGCTTTATTGTGACATCACAAAGTTCCAGAAGTCCTGACGGCTGGTTTTAAGGCTCAGTTTCTGAATACAGGCTGTGTGCATTTCTCTGTGGACTGAGGCTTTGATACTTTCACAGCATTAATAAAGAACATAGACCTGCTTTATAATCAAACAACACATGGACATCTACCTTTATACTATATGGATCTTTAATTCATGCACTCATTCACACAACAGCAATATGTAGGGTTTTTTTTGGAAGTCAAACCCACCAAAAGCAGAACAGTTACTAAATGAAACGTCCTTGTTCCGTGTAGATTTATTAAATCCCTTTCAACAAACATGAGTCAATATCAGATTTCAACCTCTTCAGCACTTCTCGAGGTCCATCAGGAAAGTGTGTGCTGAGCTTTGCTAAAGCAACAGCGGCTGAGCAGGTGAGCTAGAGTTACCATGAGCTTGTGTTTGTTTTGGGATCAGCTCAGGCAATATTCACAAGTCTGAGCAAACCTTATCTGTGCCACATACAAGAACATTTTTCTGGAGGAAAATATACACACCGGTCCTGCCAGCGGTGTTCTAGACTTACAGCACCTTGCACTAACTTTATTTTTCTATCTACTTACCTTAACCCCACCTCTTATTTGTGTTAACTGATTTCTTGTCACTTTTGGAAACAGGACCGACCTCTGGGCCAAAGAGTTCTTCACCCTCCTTTATCAGCACAGTGTCATGTGTTTTTGTCTTGTTGTATTGAAACACTGCTGTCAATGATAAACAGATCCTGACTGTGACTTTCTGTGTGTATGAACATCGTATTTATCTCTGTATGAAACTGTCTCTACTCATGAAAACTGGGGTGTTGTGATGTACTTTCCTCATCTGTGTGTTGACAAAGCTCCATGAAAAAAACACAAGAATACATTATATTCTAGTGTGCTGTTGTTTGATTGTGCATGAAGCTTTGTCTCAACCCACATCACCTTCAGTGTCTGTAGTTTCTCTTTCATGATATTTCAGAAGCAGGGGTCACATGTTAACACCCCCCCCCCCTCCCCCCCTTTCTCTTTCTCCATCTCTATGCTGCCGTCTGCAGAGACCTGCGCTGTGAACAATGGCGGCTGTGACAGGACGTGTAAGGACACGGCCACAGGGGTGCGCTGCAGCTGTCCCGTGGGATTCACCCTGCAGCCAGATGGCAAAACCTGTAAAGGTCAGTAAGTACGCGACAGTGTGTGACTGTATGTGTGTGTGAGGCCTGCAAGCCTGCTGTTCACTGAGCACTCTGTGCGTGCAGACAAGCCCAGGTCCACTTGAGCCTGCTATGACAGGTATCTGAGTGATCCAGAGCCAAACCAGACCCCCACCATCCACTTCACTGCCAACTGCACGGCGCTCTGGTCGCGGTCACTGGTGCTGCTGCTGCTTGTTGTTGTTGACTTTGCCGCTGAGCATTTCTCCACTTCCGACGGTCCACCGGTGACGTCAATGACAGTGGTCCGAGGAAAAGGCCGCTGAAGCGTGGGCCTAAACATCCCAAACACATTATTATAGGGTTTTGGCTTTTCTCTAAACAAACAGTCTGACTGAATGAGGCTGACCTGTGGGTTCAGGCTGAGTCAAACACAGGCAGTAGCTCGACAAAGCCGCAGTGAGTGGGCAGGAGGAGGCATTCTGGTCACATGTTCACGAATTCAGGGAGAGCTTTGCTGAAAAGAATAAACATGGATTAGTCCTTATTTTAGACAAAACATTATTACCAGTGATGCTATGGTGGTGTTTTTGTAGATTTATGTTCAACCTAAGGTATATGATGTTGGCTTAAAAGAAGCTATTTGTAAGTTTTGCTATTGCTTCATAGCTAACGTAAGCATTAGCAGCTGTTTACTTACCAGTCCAGAAGAAAAGTTGTGAGTTCAGCATCAAACTTCCTTCCTTTTCTCACCAACAGAGGTGGGAAGAAACACTCTTGTTTTGCTTTTATTTCTATCACCTGTCCAGTTGGACCGTCTTGTAACTTACCAATAGTCACCCCAGGGTCCAGTCTGCCCCGAGGAAGTTGCTGTTCACAGGACGTATTATAACCTTATAATATACATATAACCTTGTATTGTAAACACAAAGATGGCTGAAGCTCTCTGCAAGACTGTTAATGGTGGCATTAGCTATGTAGCAATAACAAAGCTTAGCAAAGGCTACTTATTATTGAACTGCTGCGTTTATGAAGGAACAAAGCTTTTCATAGGAAAGGTAAAGTCTGCTGAATACCTTTGATCCCAACTGATGCTCTTCTTGTTCTCAGAGTCACACTGTTAAATCAGTGCAACAATATCTCTGATGTCCATTGTAGAATATCCATGAATCTGTTCAGAAACCATAAAAAAAAAACAGATCACATTTGGACATTTTCACTACACAGCTCTCTGTCCATTTATGCAACTCAAACTTGAAGTGCATAAAATAACAATATGTTGTAGTTAAGACATGACATGTTGAAATCCTGTAGATAAAGGAGATGGTAATCAAGCAAAGAAGTGAAAGGGTTTAGTTTGGGAAATGTTTTCCATTTCCACTGAGGGACTACATGCTTGTCTATTTCCTGGAAAACACTGTGTGTAATATTTTTTAAGACCAGCTTGCCCACAGTGAGATACAGTTACCTTCAATTTCCTTTACAGATTGTTGCTAATCTGAACCTAGTCACAGTAAAAGTGCATTCTGGGTATTATGGCTGTAACATAATGCTGATGTGTGTTTGTGTGCGTGTGCGTGTGTGTGTGTGTGTGTACATGTGTGCGTGTGTTTGTGCTTGTGTGTGTGGTGAGGAGAATAATGAAGCTCCATGTTCCTCTGCCACATGTGGTTGGACCTCCCGCTGGATGCAGAGATGGAGCAGTGGGGTACTTCACCCCACTTCTGACGGACGTGTTCATGTCATTATAGCAACCAAGTGCCGGTCATGTGACAGTGACATGACCGTTTGCATGTCAGAATCTGGGCACTCACTGTGATGTGAGTGTGCTTCTATAAATTGTATAATAGTCTGTGTGTGTGTGTGTGTGTGTGTGTGTGTGTGTGTGTGTGTGTGTGTGTGTG